GTTGTTGTTGTAACTGTTGCTCTTGTTGTAGCTGCTGCACCTGTTGTTGCTGGTGTAGCGGATGCTCTTGCTGTTGATGCTGCTGCAAAATATATAAAGAAACAATGCATCATTCAATTATACAATATTTTCACTTATGAAATCTTTCTATTTAAAAATTTCTCTACCGTATTAAGAATCAAAGAAGCTGCTTCGAACTTCCAAATTATTCGACCTTTTACCATAATATTAACCCACTATTCGGTCAAGTTGTAATATCGAACTGCTGGACATCATTAGATTGAAAATGTTTTATTTTAAATCTGTTGACAGTCATTCACTTCACATACTATTACCATATTTAAATTATTTTCGAAACTTTTTATTTACCATTTATAAAAACAAATTGTAATGATTATTGACTTGACTACTAGTTTTTAGGTTAGTATACCTCCCCGCTCCCAAATCCCAATATATCTACTAAACTCAATTAAATAAAATAAAATTAGTTATTTGCTTACTTCACTCGTATTTATGAAGCTACATTCATTTGGGACATATGGAACACTAGCGCCACCCCAACTTCTGCCATTTTTTGGACAAATTTTGACAATTTTCCCGTATGAGTTCGTGCTCCTTATCTAGTCTCCATGGTCTCTCTCTTTAATTGTGGAGGAAGGAGGCATGTTAGCATGTGGGAAAGAGAAAAATTAACCCAAAATATATCTTTCTCTCTCTCTGTCACTCGTCTACACTGTGTTGTAGAGATGGGTAATGCAGCAAAATTTCCTGCGTTGATACACTAACTCAAGCGCACACTAGTGCGTTAACCCACTGCGTTAACTCAATTGCGTTATAACGCAATATCGGTTCAACTGGCGGATGACGCACCTAGCACAAAGCGCAGCGGTGTCATCGTATCACCACTATACACCACCCGACGCGTGACTCGTTACAGCTTCATCAGCTCAGCTCACTGCTCAGTGCTGTGACGCTGGACAATCTTGAAAAAATATAACTGAAAAAATATCTTAAATACTATTCCTAAATTATAATTTAAATAACAAAAACTGATTTAAATAACCAGAACACTATATTTTTACATAATTTATATTTGTTATCTTTTTTATAGTTAGTATTTTGAGAATTACCTACCTATTTTTGTTGTTATGATTTTATGTGTTTTAAATTTTATTCTGAACCAAAGAAGGTTCTAGTTAATTATTTTTGTATAAAAGGATTATTATTTTGTTTCTGTTTTTCAATAAAAGCTAAAAATTAAAATGCATAATTTTTCACATAACTGTAATTAAATTAAATTGAAACTATACTATATTTTACACAACACGCAGAGACAATGACAAACATATGATGACAATCCCCCCAACCCCCAAGTATATATTCCATTTTATCATAATAATAGTCATGTTATTTCATACGTTACGCTATTTTTCGTCCTATAATATTATTTTCAAAGGTATTACTCCTAATATAACGTTTTAACATTATTTCGGTAGATCGGATATACAATTATACTGTGTTCTTTTCTTCTCAAATTCTTGGTTTTGTAAATAGCCAATAGAGTTGAATCTTTTGACGTGATGACGTGTTTCGTTCGGCTTTGTCTGTCGGGGCACGGCGCATGACTCCGTGTTTGACTCAAAAGTGTGGTGCGCCGTGCGGTGTCGCGGTGTCGGTGTAACTCAATTGCGTTAACGCAATAATAATTTTGGTATCAGCGCAGTGGCGCAGGCTATTGCTTCAGCGCAATAACGCAACGCAGTACTGCGTTACCCATCTCTACTGTGTTGCCGTAAAGCATACTCCCCCATGTAGAATATGCTCTAATATCCTTTTAAAGTAATCATTTGCTTACAAATCTCTAAAAATTTCAAGTTCTGTTACTCAAGTACCTACTGAAATGGTATATTAATACCTTTAGTTGCCGTTTCGTTTACATAAAATTTACATCAATAGTATATAAATATTGTGTGCAAAAAATAATCCAAGTACCTACATATTTCAGAACTGAAGCTCATAAGTATATTTTGTATCTTATTAGGTACATTATATTTAAAATATTTATACTTTCTTTTAAATAAAAATGTTATATTTGATTTTATGCCTATATAACTTTATTTTGTGAAACATCACTGAAAATATATAGAGGACTGACATTTAAAGTAAGTTACCCGTTACAATTAAATCTCTATAATCGAAGACGAAATTGTTAACACTAATGTAAATAATGCTAAAACATTATACAGGGTGTTAATGAATAGGTGTTACAAACGGATATGGTATGTAAAAAATCCAAAAATAAGTGCAGTTTACTTAATAAACATATGTCCTAAAGCGGCTCATTTTCGAGATACAGGGCGTTGAAATTTAAAAATAATAAACTATTTTTTCCTGTAGCTCCGGTATTAGTTAATATTTCTTTATCAAACTCAACAGACAGATTTACTAGCTTAAAGGATGCATAAATATGGCAGAAACCATTTATTGGCTTCTTCTAGTGGCGTGCGATAGGTGTCGTTTCACCTTTTATCCCCCCTAAATTGTGCGGCACTGTACAAATATTAGTTTTTCGTATGTTTTTGAATTTGCTAGTATTTTTTACGTAAATAATGTATACTTGTTAGACTTCCATAAAATGAGTATTATCAAGTTATTAACATTTACATTACTGAGGTCACCTTATGCTCCAAAAACTATGTTTTTCTATGCTATGCTAGTTTTCGAGATACAAAAAGTTAAAGTTGTTTAAAAGGTATTTTTATTTTGCACAAAAAAATTACAGTAAATGCTCAAAATTACGGCCACCAGTAGCGATACAAGCGTTAATTCTTCGAAGCATATTTGTGTACATTCGGTCAAAAGTGCCAGGCGTCGTTTCGATCTCCTGCGCTGCAGCTAGAATGCGTGCTACCAAATCTTCTTCTGACTCAACAGGAGTTTCATAAACTAGACTCTTCATATGGCCCCACAAATAAAAGTCAAGCGGGGTCATGTCTGGGGAACGTGGTGGCCACGCCATAGGTCCTCCACGGCCAATCCATCTTACACCGAATTGTTGATTAAGGTGATCTCGGACAACAAGCGAAAAGTGCGCTGGCGCACCATCATGCTGCAGCCACATTTCCTGTCGAATGTTCAATGGCACATTTTCTAATAATTCTGGAAGTACTTGTTGTAGGAACGTTAAATAAATAGGACCTGTAAGACGATTTGGAAGAAGGTGCGGACCAATTAAGCGCCCGTCAATTATACCAGCCCAGACATTGACGCCAAACTTCTGCTGAAATCTAGTGGAGCGAATGGTGTGAGGGTTTTCTTCAGCCCAGACATGGTTGTTGCGAGAATTAAAGATCCCTTCTCGTGTGAAGGATGCTTCGTCTGTAAAAAGCACAAACCGCGGAAAATTTGCTTGCAACTGACACTGTTGAAGAAACCAATGGCAAAAGTTTAGTCGTGGCTGAAAGTCGGCGGGAGTTAAAGCTTGAACCTTTTGTATATGATAAGCGTGAAGCTGTTGCTCGCGTAAAACTTGCCAAACGCTTACATGGTTTACATGCATATTCTGAGCAATACTTCGACTGCTGGTGGATTGGTTTTCTTCTATCCTATTAAGAACTTCTTCTTCGAACCTTATCGTTCTGCGGTTTCTCCTTACCCCGCAGTTAACCCTATTTGTTGTAAAAGTTCCTGTTTCCTGCAACCTGCGAAACACTCTTCCAAATATCTTATGTGAAGGGGTTGGACGATTTGGAAATCGGATTGAGTATAACCGACGGGCAGCCCTGCCATTACAACGCGCTTGACCGTACATTAATATCATGTTTGCATAATCAGCAGAAGTATATTCATTCATGATGTATGAATGTTTTAAACGAATGGATAAAGATATCTATCTAATAATTAAAACTTACAAACTAAACTTTACACTAAAATAACAATAATAATTAAAAACTGCCTCGTTTCACAATCGAAAATAATTTGACATTAAAATACAAGTAATGTCAACGGCAAATGTTTTTTTTCCAACATTTTAAACTTGCTTGAGGAATACGGAAACCTTGAATGTTTTGTATCTCAAAAAGAAAAAGCGACACATGTATGCATTTACTAAACAATTTCGTGAAAAATTTACTCAACATGTCACTTTTTAAAAATTTTTGGTTTTTGGAGCATAAGGTGACCTCAGTAATGTAAATGTTAATAACTTGATAATTACTCATTTTATGGAAGTCTAACAAGTATACATTATTTACGTAAAAAATACTAGCAAATTCAAAAACATACGAAAAACTAATATTTGTACAGTGCCGCACAATTTAGGGGGGATAAAAGGTGAAACGACACCTATCGCACGCCACTAGAAGAAGCCAATAAATGGTTTCTGCCATATTTATGCATCCTTTAAGCTAGTAAATCTGTCTGTTGAGTTTGATAAAGAAATATTAACTAATACCGGAGCTACAGGAAAAAATAGTTTATTATTTTTAAATTTCAACGCCCTGTATCTCGAAAATGAGCCGCTTTAGGACATATGTTTATTAAGTAAACTGCACTTATTTTTGGATTTTTTACATACCATATCCGTTTGTAACACCTATTCATTAACACCCTGTATACATCACTGTTATTTGTATAGTGTATGGTTGACTTACGGTAATGTGAATGTCACCACTATGAAATGACCATTTTACTATTTTATGGTCAATGTATGTCATGGATCCATTTTGTGTAGTGTATGGGCACAGTATAATATAAATCGGTAAGGACATTGTCTTATTAATTTGTATTATACTGTGTTATGGACGTTTTAATATCTTTATTCCCATAAGATATCCATTGAAGACTATCTGTAATCCAAACGGAAAACCATGTGAATACAGAATACCCAGAACAAACAGCAATAGGACGTAGAATGTCCATAAGAAGATTATGCTACTGGGAAAACATTTGGGTGAAGTATTGAGAATTTGATAAGTTGAAATAAAACCAAAGAATCATAATATATAAATATAATTTGTCACCGACTAATAACTACAATACAAAAATGTGATATAGAAAAATGGGCAATGAAAATATGATGTTCACTAATATTTATGCAAGTAAAACAAAAGCACAGGTCCGGGTTGTACAGCCTAAAATTACATCAATATATTCTACTTTACATATTCTATTCTGTATTATTTCACTATGGATATGGTATACCTTACTTGACAAATGAAATGAGGCTAGAATGTTACACAGATTAGGAAAACGTTTGGTAATAATGAGTTATTATATTATGTGATATAAATATAAGTGAAAATGATTGTTATATCTATTTTTTACGAGAGATTATAAAAATACTGAATGTATTGGACAAAAAAAAATAGAATTACGGGCATGAATATCACATCTACATAGTTTATCCTAAAATTAACAATCTGTTACATTTATATTGCTTTCTATTTAGAAATGTGTATTTGGTTTTTATATTCTATACATATAAAATAGTAGGTAATTGCCAGGGGTCTGATAAACTTATTGGCATCCAAATTATAAGAAAAATAAAATAGTTGATTGCATCATACATATAGCAATTCTACGTCAGTCAAATAGTATACTTTTATAGAGGAACTCAATTTTTTTTATATATTTTTCAATTATGAATATTTTTACACAATATAACAAATAATAAAATCATCATCCTAGAGAGATGTTACATGTATAAGTAATTCATGTCTTCTTATTTATTAATGAGTAAAGCTAATATAACTTAGATGTTACATGCAGACAAGTAGAAAATTTGTTTGGATTTGATGTGATAAAACAATCAAAAATCTATTTTTGTCAGTACTTGTGTAAACTTTCCACACATACCTATTAAAAGCCACAGCCTTCATCTATTTTAAAAACATGTCAAAAATGTGATTATTAACAATTAAACCCTGTTATCAAGGAGATTTAATACTGAACTCATTAACTTATTAAATATCCCTGTTAAATAAAATGAATATCATCTTTGGAAGTAATACAGGCTATAACTAAAATATATATTTTTTTCAGAATGCCCAATTTTTAATAAAAGAAATACAAAAATATATGTTAACTAACATTATTCCGAGTTACAACAAACTAATTTTAATTTAATAACTAATTTTACTTAACTTAAAATAATAGTACCTTAATAAATATATATTTTTTAATTTTAGTTCATTTTTTCTATCATTCGACACACATTAGTTAAAAAATAGTTCTCAAATTTCTATATAATTTACCTAAATAAAGTATCTAACAGTCTTAAATTGCTGTAACTCGAATACCATGTAGTATATTTTGGCTTGGAAACAGCAAATAAATAATGTAAAAGTCGCTTAAGTTAAAACACTGTCAATTTTATAAATGTCAATAATGGAGGATATGCACAATAAATTATTTCAGTTACTTGCTCCTCCTGATGAGCTATTTCTACTACTAGAAGTGTTGGCTTGTTGGTCCTGCTCTGCCTTTTGTGCTGCTACTACAGGCGTGGGTACGACAACAGTATTACCATTTTGAACTATATAATGCGTAAGTCTTGTAGGTAGACAGCCCGCATTTAACTGATAGAATTCAATGAGTTGTAAAATATCATAAAACTTTGTAACCCCACTATCCAATGAATAAACTGGACGGTCTGCTAGGGGGTCCAATATTGGGCTGATTTGTGCGTGTAAGACTTTGGAACCACACTTGTAAGTTAATACGAAGGAACCCGGGTTAGACCTGCTCTCTCGCACCAGAAATACCCTAGAACAAAAAACGTACTTTACTAAAAAAAATTTATTTATTTCTTCAGGGAAGATTCTTATAGGAATATTTAGGGTGATTCCTAGTAAATGTAAAAAATGGGAAAAATGGAGTATTATATTATTATTAAATGCAAGTGTGCCTTATTATTTTTACATGCCAGATTCCTAACCCCTTTTTATACCAATGAAAATAATTTGAATTTTATGGCGGGTTCCGATTTCTTAAACATTTTAAGCAAAAGAAGTCCTCGTCTACTACATTAATGTTTGCCATTTTTCAGTTATTTGGTTCTAAAAATAATTGTATGCAGTCATAACACAAAGAACAGTTCAATTATAAGGGCTTTTTTTATATAAATTAAGTCAAATGGTATTAAAAGAGTATAAAATTCATGGTATTATTAACTTCATGTATAACATTAACTTCATACGAACATAACTAGATAAAGATTTCAAATCAAAGGAAAGGGTTAACAAAGGTGCATCGAGTAGAAGTGCATAAACAATAAAAAGATATTCCTCAGGTAAAAATAAACAAAAAAGTCTATAGAAGCCTTGGTGCCGAAATGTACCCTTTTTGAGATATGGGTCTTTTTATATACCAATTTCAGGATTTTTTGTTGAAGTTTTTTTAAATATCTTTTTATTAGGTTCAAGTATCAGTACCAAAGTTAGTACTTTTTTAGTCTTAATGACTTATACTTGTATAGTTAAAAAAAAATGGTAGCATGGAACTGAATTTTTCATAGTAGGTACATTAAAAAAAATTGTTGCTATCTTTGTAAGAAGTTCCTTTGGGCATTTGAATTTGTGTGCTAATTTTGATGAAGGAACCTCCTGTAGAACTTTGGTAGTTGAATCAAGGGGCAAAAAATTTATCCACAGCTCTTTCTGGCTATCACGAAAAAAAATCTTGTTTTCTTTTCATCTTTTAGCGAAACAATATTTTAGTACATACATGCTTCCTAAAATAAATGGTATAGGAATTAAACACAGTTTGCAACGCCACTTTTTACATTTTCGCAAAATAATCGTGGAATAATATTAATAATTCTGGAACTGAAATGCTTGATTAAACTTAAACTCTAATGGCGGATTCTACAAATTAAATAAAATCCAATAAATCAACAGTGTTCAAAAGTACCTCGTTTCCCAGATACCTCAAGACATCCAAATTTACTAAAAATATGTTGTAAGTATATTTCAAGATGTAAAACATATTTAACTGAAGCCATGTAAATTTACTTTGTATTATTTAAAAAATAATTTATTTTCTCATTTTTAGCAATAATTACTTAGACATTCCATTATTTAGGTATCTCGAAAACCTTATATCCTAGCAAATATGCTACAACACATTTTGTAAAGCCTTTACTATTTTGTTATAACAGCTAATCAAATTTGAATTAGATTATGAATTGATTTAAAAAAATTATATTTACACTGGCAGAAATACTCGATTAAAAACAACAAACTAATAAAAAAAATACTGCGATAGTAAAAGTAAAAAAATGTACCATGACCATAGGTTTGTTGTAACCATTGTTTTTGTAATTAAAAGTGCGAACTTTTTTTTAACGTATGACGTAGAATCCGCCGTTAAAGTTTGGCTAAGGATTCTACCCCATATAAATAAATAAATCATTTATTTGTGCAGTGTGTTACGGAAAGATGCGAACTGTGATCCGCATCGTCCACGCATCTCACCATTCTACAACACCGCATGCATAAGCATAACCAACATGATCACGTCACAGTTACAAACTACTACCGGTAAAAAAATGCGGTAAGTGGTTTAACCTTGGGCCTTCATTTCAGCACTGACCTACCATATTAGTTAATGTTGCCAAGGGTAGCCATATCATGCAGCTAATGGTTATGTAACCCATTAAGTTTCCGAGTATGATTATCATCAAAATGTTAAGATAAGCAGGTTTGGTACAACATACTTTGGTGGTCTTACTTATTGAATTTGAAATAATAATAATAATAACTGTATTTTCTAAACTGTCAGTTTAATTTCAGAAAGCGACATGTTATTTCTATTTCATTTTGAAAAAATTTATTTCAGAAGACTTTATTTCTACTTCAGATTAGTCAAGACTATTTAATAAACAGTTAATTAAACTTCAGAATTCGTAAGTTTCAGAACGCATTTCGGTTATAAAGTCATAGTTATTTAAGAAATAATTAAATTATTAACTTTCGTTGGAAATATGTTTAAACATGTTTTGAGTCGGACTGTACATAGATCAAGAACAATGCGATAAAAATTACATTTTAAATGTGTAAAGTATAGCAACGATGAATTTAATTATGTAAATTTACATTGGATCGGAACTTAGTATAATGCTGCATAACTTTAGTTTCTGTTTCTGAAACATAGGTACATTTGAGGAAAACTAAAATACATTTACCTAACTCTCTCAAATGAAAATACATCTTAACTATAAGAATACTTTGTTACGTAAATGAATGGAGTTTTCGATTAATATATTTTCAGTTGATATGAAAATTAGAATTGGAAACATTTAATTCATTTTAATTCTAGAAATTTATCAATACGAAATGTTTTCTAATAAAACTCGTCATTTTGTCCAGAAATCATCAACCGGTCTTCTATACAGTCGTTTAAGATTTACTTATTTAAAAATTGCGTGTTACATCATCTATGTGGAACTCTATTAAACGTATTAAAATATATTTGAGATGTGGTTACAGTGCTTTATCTGGGCAAAAATTTTTTTGGTTGGGTGTTATACCAGTGGATGATGGAATTGATGGACATGCATCCCTGCTACTCCGGGTTGTTAAAAATTCAAAATCTTGCAAAGATAAAAATGATTTAATTTTAATTTTGACTTGATTCCCAAAGAAGAAAAAGAGTACGACCGTTGGGTGAGGATATTAATTTCTTCAGTCAATGGTACGACAAACCTAGGACAAGGTTTATAACACTTTCTGCGAAGGGCGAGACGGCGGAAAATAATGTTCGAAATTTGTGGTCGGAGCCGGGGGGCAGATACGGCCCTGTGTGGTTACGCCTGCTTTTGGAGTTTTTTGCTATTTTATAGACAGTGAATGTGTTTTTATTTTGGATTATTTAGTGTACATTGTAAGTAATGTTTTATGGGATAGTACAAAACAAGTTAGTATTTGGGAACATAAAGATAAAGACATAAGACATACTGATGCAGGCTAACAAATAATTGTCACTCCTCTCATCCAACCACCAGTGCGCAAGTTTGTTATTAAACTTGAATAGCAACAGCTACGTTGTGCAGTTGAGTTACGTCACAAGTTTAGTCAATTTAAAAGTAATAATTCCCCCACCAAAAATATTTAGCCGCGCAAAACGACATCTTTTCCAACCTCTTTGGTTATGCATAATTTTGTGAATATTTTGTTATTTCCATGTTGATCTTAATTTAAAGAGAGGGGAGCAGGTGGTCTCAAATACTGAAAATTTAATATGGTATAATCCTAGTAGTTGACAGATCTATAAAATATTCAGTATTTTCTATTTCCTTCGTAACGATTATTGGTTTAAAATTAGTTGCAACTAATCTCAGGTTAATAAAAGAATAAAGGTTTATTCCAATATACTCAAAAGAATATGGAAGTTGCCTTAAGTGCGTGCGTGCAATGGCTACTATTTTCATTGGAATTCCTTGAAACGCTTTAGAAAATAAAGTATAAATTAATGGTAATTACAAAACATGAAGCAGCAACTACTGTTACTTTTCTGTGTAATAGCAATTATTAGTGCATTAGACTACAGTAAAAAAAAAACTGACACGTGTCCTATTATACATACAGGGTGTTCCTAAATAAGTGTCGCAATGGAAAACTGTAAATTCCCCTTGAAAAAAGAAGCATTATTTTCCACTTCCATTTTTCTCTCCGGGCTTTCGTTTTCGAGATACACGGTGTCAAAACTTTTTTTCAGATTTTTGCCAATATCTTAGGAACCGTTTGAACTACAGGACTGAACTTTTGTACACACATTACCACTATTAATAGCTACTTGTTGCAAATGCTGTTAAATTTCGTTAAAATTTTAAATTATTACTACCCATCTTTTAAATTACATAAGATTTTGGAAACGTTAGCAAAATGTTTGTTTTTGTTCATAAAAAGTCATTTTTCTTGAAAACGGTTGACTTTAGAGCAATGAACCAAGAGAACTCTTTTTGTGTAAAATTCATTGGCGTTTCAGAATTTGCTGTCAAATGTTAATTTTTCCAGTGGCGTAAACGTTGGGGGGGAAAACCCTTACGATACCTTAAAATCTCCACCACTGGCACGTTCAATGAATTCGAGAAGGGTGCTATTAATAGTGATAATGCGTGTACAAAAACTCAGTCCAGTAGTTCAAACGGTTCCTAAGATATTGGCAAAAAATTTAAAAAAAATTAAAGTTTTGACACCGTGTATCTCGAAAACGAAAGCCCGGAGAGAAAAGTGGAAGAGGAAAATAATGTTTCTTTTTTTCAAGAGGAATTTACAGTTTTCCGTTGCGACACTTATTTAGGAACACCCTGTATATATCTCATTTTTAATATACAACAGTGCAAATTTTATTAAAATCCCTTATTAAAAATAATACCGTATTTTTATTCTACAAAAATTTCATTGTTTTCAATCTTCCCAACCTCTTCCTTATACCTAATGACAATTTTATTACTAGTGCAGTTACTATATTTAATGATTTTTCGATTGTTGATCACAAGTACTTATTTAATTTTCGAAATTATCAAATTTATTGGAATAATTAAAAAGCAATTGAAACGTTGACGCTTCCTCGCTACTATTAAATGCGGTGCATTGAAGTTTTATTTAAGCGATTTATTTTACTTGCTTATACTATTTTGAGTATTTATTATCACTGAGTACACTATTTGTAAACGAAAAATCATTGGAATCTGCGCTCAGAATAAGTCAAAGTAAGCTTTATATTTGCTCACAAATTTTGACGTTTGTAGGCTCACGGGATTTAGAGGTAACCACGATTGACGCCCTCAAATCTAACAAATTACGTATTTAGCACTAGTACTAATAATATTTTATACTAATTTTTATCTAATCATTTTACTGTTATTATTACTGAACATGTCAGTTTAAGTAGCAAATTGCCTCTTTTTGTGGAACATGTTCTTAGATCTGAGTGCGTTGACTACGCTGCAATCTGGCCGCGCGCGCGGGCGACCTAAATTAATATTATTATGTCACGTATTACCTTAAAATTCAAAACAATATTAAATAATGTCTCTACATCGGCAAAACGACTAGTAAATTTTAAATATAATCCCTTGTGTATTATTTATTGCATTCGTAATGTGGTGAATTCCTTCTGTGAGCTCATTTTTTTGTTGCGCTGCAGTGCGGTGGACAGCATGTTCAATGGCACCTTCTCTAAAATTTCATTTGTGTCATTCTGAAGCAATTATAGTTATCCTTGTTCATTCAATGGTCCGTTTGTTTCAAACAGATATAATTCCTTTAAAAAAAATGCACCTACATATTAATTTTAAATTCGCTCTGTGCGACTCTATTTCAACACGTATACCTTTTTTATGTAGGATTGTCGACGGAATCTAAAAATGAATTCCAAATTATTATTAAGTTATTGGTGTAGAAGTTGGGGTAAAAAATCCCGCTTTACTACCCATTCCTACGCCACTGACCTACAAAAAATTGGAAATTTTACAGTAAGTTCTGCACATGTGCAAATGTTAACACCACACCAAATTTGAATCAATTTGTTATAAGCATACCAAAGATTTCGTAAATAATATGATTTTAAAAACTAGTCAATACGGCCCTGTATAGTGAAAACGGTGAAACTTAGACCTTTGCTTTATAAGGCAATTTTGAATTATTTATTGAGTTCTATTTGTGGTTAAAGTTTGATTCACTCGAACTGAAACACCCTGTATATATTCACCTATCTAACCATTAGAATAATCCATGACAGAAATATCAATACAAATGTAATTAATGTTTCTAATTTTGAAGCTACCAGTAGGTAAAGGTGTCATCATGAAATTTAAATCACTTGTGGACCGTAAAGTGTTATAGGTACAAAATCGTGAAATTGTACACAATATATTTACATTAACGATAGAATAGGCACAAAATGGCGATGTATTAATTTCTTTAGAAAAAGTGTAAGAAGAGTTGCAAAGCCAGCAGGCATTAGTGTGAGTGTAGCGGAAAATATTATGAACGGAAAATATTGGGAATGGTGAAACCTCATCGTTCTCATACTCGGCATAATAAATATAAACAAATTGCCAAGAGCAAATTTGGATGACTTCGATTGTGAAGTGTTACGAGGGCACCTTTCAAAACTGGTATGTTCAAGAAAAACGACACTTATACCTAGACATATCCATAGAAAGTTTTATGGATATTTGGAATATACTGTTGGCAGCGTAAGTTTGCGTTAGTTTTACACACCATAGGACTCCGGTGGCGCAAAAGAAAGACCACCTGACGACTATTAATGGAAGGACATGACATCTAAGACTGAGGTTAAAAGTAAGAATGAAACAATGCCGTGAAGAGGGTGGACCAATTTGTTCATTAAATTGCTTAATAATGGCAATGCAAATTAAAAACAGTGACAGAGAATGATCTCCGGTGCTAGTCTGGTAATGTTGCCAATGCACATCTGAAACTCACGATCAAATTGTAAAATTATGAAACAAAGTAATGAAATAATTAAATAGCATACCTAATAAGATTTTTGTTTATTATGGTTTATCGGAATTTCTCAGATTGATATTAAAATGAAGGGATGATGTCACTTTTAATGGAAGCTTCATAATTAGGAACATTAATTACATTTATACTGGCATTTTTATCATGCATTATTCTAATAAGCTGCACTACTATTATTTCATGAGAGGGGACCATCCAATTGTTGACACTGACCACAGTTTTAGGCCAGACGACCAAGTTAGGGTCGTCCGCTGCCAGGCGGCATCGCAGTAGACGCCGTCAGATCTAAGAACACGTTCCACAAAGAGGCAATTTGATACTTACGATGGGACAATAAAAAAAACGAGTATATTGCTTTGAACATTTCTGAAATAATCTACACAAAGAGACAAAGAGCAACTGCTACCATAATTTGTTAAGGGCAGCTCACTGATAATTTTAGTGATTTCCTATACAGGGATGGGCAAAAGTACGGAATAAAATTCATATCTTTTGAATGAGTTAACTTTTTTTAAAACGCAGAAACACGTTAACTGATTTTGATTTTTTCCCATCTTTCGGTTATATAATAATTAATTTTTATTCAACCCCCTAACCCCCAGCTACCCCTACTTTTTTTTTCAAATGGAAACATAAGGCATGAGGGGGCTCGTTGAAAAGCTTATAGAAAATCGAATTCAGCCATACCAAATAAACAAGTTTTATTTTTTCAATAACAAGTTTTTTTCATTTAGAAATTGAAACTATATAATTTACAAAAATAAACTCAATGTCGCAAATGTTGAAATTGTCCTCCATTCACTATTTGGCATTCTGCAAGTCGATAGTAAAAGCTGTCCACAGCATTCTGAATGACTTCAGCTGGTAAATTATGCATCTCCGCCCTAATCTTGTTCTTTAAATTCTCAATATTATCCCGTCTGTCCTGGTAGACTCTTTCTTTCAAATATCCTCAAAGAAAATAATCCAGTGGTGTTAAGTCGGGGGATTTTGGTGGCCATTCAACTGTACCCCGTCTACCAATCCAGCGATTTGGAAACATTTCATCTAAGTATCTTCGAACATCAATACCAAAATGTGGGAGAGCGCCATCTTGTTGGAACCAAATTCTTTCATTCGGTATACCTGCACCAATTTCATGAGGGAAAATCACAGCTAGAGCAGGTATCAGGTCAAATGTTAGGAAATCCAGGTAGCGTGTGGCAGTAAGATTTTCTTCAAAAAAGAATGGGTCCATGATTCCAGTGTGGATTTTCCTGGGACCAAAAGCCATAGTTGTACCTGTTAACCACTCCGTTTAAATAAAACGTAGCTTCATCCGAAAAAAGTACGTCTCGTTGAAAACCATTATTGTCGTCACACCGTCTCATCATTTCCTCACAAAATTGTAATCGTCTATCATAATTGTCTTCCAAAAGCTCTTGGACAAGACATACCTTATAGGGGTGGTATTTGTCTTGTTTTAGAAACATTCGAATTGCAGTTCGAGAAGCATCGTGATTGCGGGCCAATGAAACAGTTGAAGTATGAGGATTTTCAACAAGTTCTAATGTAATGTCTAATTTCTTTTCTTCATTCAAAGCACGTGCCCGTCCAGTTTTGGGCAAAGTATGTACTGTATCGTGTTCCTCAAATTTGTGAAATATTTTACTAACTGTCCCTTACGAGATTTGGTTTTCGGGATATTTCGCATTAAATAAATCGCGCACTTCAGCCTGACTTCTTATTTTGTCTCCACATCCAAGCAATATCAAGATTTCGATGCGTTGCCTTTCCAACAATACCATTGCAATTCAGTAAATAAATTGATTTTGACACAATAGTAACGTTTCGAACTCCAATTTACAACTAGAGCGAAAAATTAACCAGAAACCCTGGCAAGTAAGAGGTGCCAAAAAAACGCAACATAAAAAATATATCTTTTTTGCGTTAGCAGTGATAGGTACAGTTTCAAATTCTTTATTTTATTCTGTGCAAATTCATGGAGGATAACACTGAAGATAATTAAATTTAATTTCACTTGTTAAGTAGGTGTTTTATACAACCCTAAAAACCTTGCTATTGAAAAAATAAAACTTGTTTATTTGGTATGGCTGGATTCGGTTTTCTATAAGCTTTTCAACGAGCCCCCTCATGCCTTGTTTCCATTTGAAAAAAAAAGTAGAGGTAGCTGGGGGTTAGGGGGTCGAAAAAAAATTAATTATTATATAACCGAAAGATGAGAAAAAATCAAAATCAGTTAACGTGTTTCAGCGTTTTAAAAAAAATTAACTCATTCAAAAGATATGAATTTTATTCCGTACTTTTGGCCATCCCTGTATATGCAACCGTATCCGAATCTACTTACCCATCACAAGTGCCATATCTATTCATTAACGCAGTCGCTTGATCCCTGGTCATCCCACTGTGGAACCAAGGTTGTGTGATGTGAACTCCGGCTTCTAGGGTCTGAATGTGAGCTGAGGTCAGTGCAGCCGCAGAAGGGCCGGACAACCTGGTGGAAGGTCGCCACCTCCTCTTCCAGGAGTAACCCTCGGCTATAGCGATCGCGTTGGCTTCCTGTGGATCTTCTACTATCCTGCCGACTGCGCCTGTGAAGTCCATGGCCACACGGGATCGAACAGATTCCTGTAAAAAGCATAACACGATTTAATTCATGTCATTTTTAAAAATCGCTTCTATTAACGATTAAGGAAAGTTGGGCAAAATATAATCCAATATTGACTCATGAATCCATTACAGTATATCAGCATAATGAATACAGGAATCATTCATAGAATGTTTGTGAATGATTGTTTTGTATTCATGTCAAATATGTACGAATATTTTGTAGTTGATAGATATGTTATTCTGTGAAATAAACGGGTAAAATGTTGCCAACAAAAAAAGAGAGACAGGGTGACAGCTGAAAGTTCAGGGTTATTAAAAATGGTGCATTACACGAAAGAACAATGCGTTTTCATTGTTGAGCAATATTTAAAAAATAATGAAGGTTTGGCAGCTACAGTTCGTACAAAATATGGTCGGAATAGTGATTTAACTTCATCAAGTGTGAATACATTAATTGAAAAATTTAGAGAGACAGAATCGATTAGTGATCTTAAACGCTATGGCCGTCTTTCAACAAGTCGTTCAACACAAAACATCGAAGCAGTTCGTAAGCGTGTTGCTGAGTCCAGGAACAATTAGGCAGCGAGGTCAAGGATTGAACATTTCGGGGTGCTCTCTACAGCATATTCTCATGAAAGATTTGCATCTTAATGTTTACAAAGTTCAACTGACTTAAGAACTGAAGTCTACTGATCACGCAGAGCGAAGAGAGATGGATTATGGAACAACAAATGGAACAAAATCATTTTCAGCGATAAGGCTCATTTTCATTTTCATGACCTCGTTAATCGACAAAATTATCACATTTGGGGTTCAGTAAATCCACGACTGATTGTTGAGAACAAATGCATCCAGAACTTGTCACTGTTTGGCGAGGATTTTGGACTGGAGCCATCATCGGACCATTCTAATTGAAAAATGTGGCTGCTCAGGTAATAATATTTAATAGTGCTCGCTATCGCGACATAATAATCCAATTTTTTTTGCCTAAATTGCAAAATACGATGTAGACGACAGGTGTTTTCCACAAGACGTTTTCCCGTTTTGGTGATAATAATTGGCCGCCTAGATCATGGGTTTTGGTTTTTTTTTGAAATTTAACCCTACATAACTTCATACCGTATAGGTACTTTAAGAATCAATAAAAAAATTACAATTTTTAATTAAAAACCTGTGTTTTCTATTAAAATTTGCTATTTGCTATTGCTGAATTGTTTCATGTCTGGGAGCAACACGGTTTCATTAAGGGCAGATCCACTGTTACTAACCTTGTAAAAAAACTCAGTTAACGAAAAACTTGACAAGATGAAACAAGTCGATGTTATCTATACCGACTTCACTAAAGCTTTTGACAGACTCGACCACGACCTCTTGCTGTACAAACTAGATGAGTTTTGTGTGTCCGAATCACTTTTGCAACTTTTTGAATCGTATTTACAAAATAGGTATCAGTTTGTTCAGCACCGTTATTTTAAATCATACAAGTTTCATCAAATATCTGGTGTACCCCAAGGATCTATAGTCGGACTACTCTTTGTTCTTTTTGTATACGACATCTTGGTTGATCTACAAGTACACCATTTAATGTACGCAGATGACCTTGAAGCTATTTTGCGAAATAAACACTATTGCTAACTGCTATATGTTACAGAATGCGCTTAATGTCATTAGTTTGTGGTGTCTAAATAATAATTTAACGCTAAATGCCTCCAAGTAGTGTAATATCACAAAAAAAACTGTACTATTCGATTATAAATTGGATATAATATTGCATAGACCGATTACATAAAAGACCTTGGAGTTAGATTTGACACTACATTATTTTTTACAAAACATATAGACATAATTGCCTCATCTGCTTTCAAGAATAAGAGGTTCATAATAAGGAATTCTAAAGGCTTTATCAGTATTTCTACACTACGATTGCTCTATACTACCTTTATTCGTTCTAAATTAGAATATGCATCAATAGTCTGGAACCCAATTTATGCTAATCAAATTGCAATTTCGGAAAGAGTACAGCGTAGGTTTATGAAATCAGCTGTGTACTTATTGGATGGTACATATCCCCCTCAGGGTTTTCCGCATGATTTATTACCTACTTGAGCGTTTCAATATTCATGTCCTTGCTAAAAGAAGATCTGTCTTTCAAGTAATGTTTTTATATAAAGTTCTCCATAACATTTTGGACTCTCTAGGTGTTTTAAGTAATATTAATATCAAAGTTCCACGACTATAAGCTAGAAGTGATAATGTTTTTAGTCTACCCGCAGCACGTAGTAACATTCTAGTAGCATCACCATTGTATCAAATTGTTTCCAAGTACAGTGAGATAGAAAATAATGTCGATCTTTTTGTTGTTTGACTAATTACTTTACTTATGTAGTCATATCAGTATTTTATAGTTTGTTGCCTTTTTATTTTGTTCTTTATATTTGCGTTATTTGTAAGTTTGTACTATTTTTATTTTTTTTCTTTATTTTTTCATAGTTAATTTTTCTCGTTTTTAACTTTTTTTATATTTTATTACTAGACTTAACATATCCTGTTATTGGGCATCGCCTGTTGGATGTGTTCCATTTCAAGCTCGAACGTTCATAAATGGAAGTGATAGGTACAATTTGTAAGGTGTAATAAAGTGTAAGTAATATAGTGATTAAGCCCATTCCATTATTAATTAGCAACGTTGAACCAACAAGTAGAAATATGAATAACGATAGCAACTTGCAACTGAAAAATTACCTATTGATTAGTTTACCAGCGGTTAGTATGCTTCATGTTATAATTCGTTTATTGCTTGGGAATATACGTATATCTACCTACGTACGTGTAAGTAATATCATTCAGTAAATTATTTAAAAAATCACAGTGATAATAATGACGATGTGACAGAATTCTCATGTAATTACGAATACTATCTACATATTGGGACATTTGTAATTAATTAATATGTTTCATAAATACTTGTAACAATCCTCTGTATTCGTGAATACCGGTTATGTTTATAGCAGATTATTTCTAATATGACCAGGTGATTAAAAATGCATATTCTTTAAATTGGTAAAGCGCAATTTTCTCTTGGTAGGTATGTTCTTAACTTCGCCGCTGTCGTCGAAATTAAAAAGTGACCGAGGGGTTTTAGATGACGAAAATTATTTAGAAAACTACAATAGAAATCTGAAATCCAAGTCTTTTACAGTTCTTGAGTAATTAAAAGAGAACCGTTTTCACCTTCAATAATTGAAGGATGTAGAGCCCTTAGGAAATGCTTAAGCAAAAAAATACTCTTGCCTTTTTATATTTTAACGAGAGAAATATGTCCAGAAAATTATAATTTACTAGTTATATGAGGTCTCCAGTAGAAGAATTATTTTTGTTAATAACTATAATGGATTATTTCATGTATAATAATGTAAGTTCTTCCAGCGTAATACGGCTTATACCCATTTCTAATTTATCTATTAATAATTATATTAAGAATTTAATTGCATAATGTGTTATGTTTTATTGTGCAACTGCATTTTGTATTTAATTTAGTTTTATATCTCCAACTGACATTTACGAGGTGAATACTACATTTAAATTGATTATAAGTCGTTGAAATCGTATATGCAATTTGTAATTGAAATGTCAATAGTAATTTAATAGCAAAATTACCATACAACGCCACAGAGTGGTGTGATTTGCCCTTTGAAGGCATTTGAAAATGTTGCTTAAGCAGAAGTCTTTTTTAAAATTTGTTCTATATTTTTTGGCACTCGGTTCATAGTTATTCTTTTCTCAACTTCAGAAGATTTAAGAAAATCTTTTAGAATTAACTCTATAAGTTCGTCCATGATTAAGGATATTGCTTTTAATCAAACATTTACTTATTGTTCTTTTAAAATTTGTATTTTCTAGATAATACAACTTCTTTGGATATGAGAACCTTTTTACTTAAGCTACGCTTATAGCTTGACATTCCTACAAAAAGTTTATGTATTTTGGAATATCGATGGGTTTTGATTAAATGCCTCTTTATTTGCTCAGTGCAGTTTTTTTTAATTACCAAATAAACGTGTTTGTCAATTAAATATATTCTATCACTTTCTTACGAGTATGTTTTTTATGCGATAGACATAAATTTAATAGGAAATGGGAAAATCGGTCCTTCCAATATTAGAAATTAGATTAATTTTATGTTAGTTACATTCTAATTAACTCAAAAATCAACAGACATACGAAATTAATATTAAAAATTAAATGATGAACATGTCCACCTCAAATTGGATTTTTTCAATGAGAGTAAATATGTTTGAAAATTTGTAGTTTTAGTCTTCTATAATTTGTTTTCACAATTATTAAATAGTAACGGCGAGTTGATCAATATCGCATTTCCAAAGAAATTACAGTATCTTGTAAACAGAATTAAATCAAAATTTTAACAAGAGAAAAAATAAAAAAACATGTTTGATTTACAGCAATGTGAAGCAAATAAATGTAAGTATTCTTGATTCTAGTTAACATTTTTTTAGGTAGAGATATTTCCAAATCTTATAAAAATATACGTTAGAAAGGTAATAAGTGTAAATAATCCAGTTACTCAGGGTTTTTACCTCCGAATTCTTTATAACTGAACCGATTGACGTGAAATTTTGACTGAATGTGGGGAATGCCTCAAGAAACAAAACTTATATAGTGCCGAAGTGTGCTTTTGCCTTGCGGGTGGTTCCCACCTTTTCTTGGGGGGTGGAAATTTTTACGCCCGCCCAAAATAACTACAGGAGTCGATAAAGAAGTAAATTTTAAGTAGTAAATGTTATATAAAGTTTTTTGGATAATCCAATACTTTCCGAGTAATTCGTCATTGAAAATATTGATTTTTTTACTGAAAAAGTGCTTGTTTTCGGACAGTTTTTTGCAAATAACTCTGAAACCATTAGATTTAACAAAAATGTTGTAATGGACAAAAAGAAAGGTAATAAAAAAATAAATCTAATGGTATTATTTTGTTTTTCTCTAATTGCAATATAAACCGA